GTCATAAAGAAAAATATTAAATGATTTAACTATTTAAAAACTAAAAACTTACCTTTAGTAAAATGGAGTCAAAAGAATAAAGCACACTCTGAAAAAATGTAATACATAGATCACATAAAGTTTTAATATTTAGTGTATGGAAATATTCTTAAGATTATTAACAGAAAAGGAATATAGACAGGTCATTCATAGATTTAAAAAAATCCAAATGGGTAACAGGCAGACTGTTACTCAAGATGAGTAGTTAGAGAAATACAAATTTGAAAATTTAAATGCAATTTTTTTATCATAAGATTATCAAAATGAAAGACGTTGATAGCATGCTATGCTGGCGGGGTAGGGGGAAGTGAGTGGCTTTCTCTTGGCGGTGGAATAATCACTGTAGCTTTTCAGAAAACTAGAAAATTACGTATTTTTTGACCAGGAGATTTCATATCTCCGTCTACGTCTTACAAAAATAGCTCCAGTTGATAAATGTTATAGGATGGCAATTGGAACAGTATTGTTAAGGACGACAACAAGGTCCGTGTAACTTGAATGTCCATCGGGAGAAGTGTGGCGTTATCTGTGTTTACCATGTAATTCCTGAACTTCAGTGAGAACTGTGTTCCTATGATGTATTGCTGGGTCCCGAAAGCAGAGTGGACAAACAGCATATATAGTATAAAACTATTTGTGAGAGATTGAAAAGATAGAAATTTAAGTATATATCCTTTTGACATAAATATTTGTGTGTGTAGAAAATTGTTAGATAGATAATATCAAAACATGATACTAAGCGTCACCCATGGAAATGGAAGTGCTGGGGGGGAAGGGGAAAGAAGGAATTCCTGTCTTCTGTACCTCATGAGCGTGTATTACTTTAATACCATTACTGATGATGCTTTTGCATTTTTTTTGTAATTGAATGAGAACATGTTGGGTTATACTGTAGAACAATATAGTAGAATCCAAAACTTTACATGGAACAATCACAGAATGTTGGAAAAGGATCATGTATGCCTTTTTTGGGAGGGGTGTGTGTGTATTTGTGCAGTGGTCAGGGTGTATGTGAATAGACAGACTGAGACTTCTTTCTGTAAAATGTTTTGGGAGACATTACACCAAAATGACGTTAATGGTTATTTTTATTTTCTTCATATATTCAGAGAAGAACTTAATATCTTTATCATCTGTTAACATCAATACGTTTTATTTAGAAAATAGTTAATCTTTTTACTTATTGCATGCATCCTGGGTTAATAGTTAATTTGATCTTGGCTCCTTGGGTGTTCTTGGACACCTCCAAGCTTATGGAGAGAAAATTTGGTATAAAGGGTGTTCTTGGCCTCATTAATTATTTCTCCATAACTGTTTCATCTTTTAATGATTTTTTTTCTGTTTACATGATTTTTTTTCATCTTCCAATTCTTTCTTGCCCCCCCCCCACTTTTTGCTTAGATTTTTAATTTTTAGCTTCACCTTATTTTATATTACTATGTCTTTACCCTTGGTCTGTCATTTGAAATTATGACTTTTTTTTTAACTTTTATACCCTCTAAATCATTAATTACTCTTTCTGTATATTCAGTCACATTTTGGAACTGCAGAGAATTACTATGCCAGCCATTCCTGTTTCATTATACAGTTAAATTTTCTTACTAAGGGCATATTATCTTTGACAGGTATTTCTCAGCTCAGTTCGGTTTAACAAAATTTTATGAGCACTTGCTCTTTGACAGGTACTGTGCCAGCTGTTCTGGGCATGGCCGTGAATGTATCAGTTACCAGATTTGCAGCTTAAAGTTCAACTCACCCCTGTCAGAATTTAGTTTGATAATAAAATCAGCTGAAAAAGCTGCCGCTATAAATTTTGGACATGGTTGGAGCCACTTATTACTAAGTGAAGGAACAGAAATATGTTCTAATTAAAAAGCAAATGTGCAATAGGTCAGCACTTCTAACCCCTCTTCTTACAAAATAAAAATAAAAAAAAACCCACCAAAAAAAACCCCAACCAAAACTGAACTGTTTCCATGTCTTGAAATTTTGAAATCAAGCACATTTAGACACAGATCCTTCCCCAGTTGGATGGTTGGTTAATGGCTAGAAAATCCTGGGGGTTATGGTGGCAGTGGTTATTGCTTGTTTTTGGTGTAGTTTAATTTGCTTCGTGTTTTTCCCGTCTTGCACCATGTTGGTATCAAATAGTGAAACACATTCAGTCACAATCTGCACTTAGTAAGTAGAAGGGAGGCTGTTTTATCCTAAGAGCGATTTAGTGACATCAGCTGTCTTTCGACCTTAGCTGTGAATGATTCTCAATGGATTTTGTAATCATGTATTTAAAAAGAAAACTACCAATATTTCTTTCAAAATAATTCAGGTCAGAGTATTCATATTAATTACAAATTTCAAAAGAACAGTCTCATGTTTGATTTTATATTTTGTTTTCCAAAATACCTTCTCTGAGAGATTTGAAATCCTTTGAAGTGATTAATTAATAGCTCTGAGGTATGGTGAGAAGGGGCCTTTTCTCTCTTCTGAATGAAAACTGAGGTCCATCCTATGGAAATGTGATAGTTTGTGTATGTGTAGCCCTGTCTTTCTGCCGAGCTTCATGGTGGTGGTCACTAAAGGAGTGGGTGTGCCTCCTTTATTCTGGAATTTTTGAGACCAAGTCCTTTCCTGAAAGAATCAGAGAAAAACTGAAGTCATTTCCAGAGTTACTTGCCTTTGGGGTAGTGTTCACAAAGTAGAAAATTTAAGTCTCAGGGAAACTCTTAGAGAGATGGGTGTATGAAAATAGTTTTGCAGTAAATTGACTTTCTAAAAGTTTATTGATGGAGTTCGAGGGCCCTTCTGGCTCTGGTAATAAAATCAGTAGGTTATGATTTTCCAAGTTGAAATGACAAGCCATTTGTCACCCTATATTTAACCAAGATGTGTTTTTAGGTTAAGACTGAGTATATAATTGAAGGTTTTAATCTAAAATGAATCATATGCACATCTGTGTTTACAGAGAAGTGTACCATTACAGATACACACGTGTACTATCACACATACTCGTGTGCACATCAGTGGGCACACACCTGTATTAACTGTGAGCTTCATTAGTAAGATTGGCAGCAGTATTCCAGCAATCAACTTGAATTTTCCTAATAGATCCCTTTATCTGCATTTCAAAAATAATTCCTCCGCTTTGTTACAGAAATACTTAAATATTTATAAATGTGTTATATATTTTTCCTGTCTTTTAATGCTGAAATTAACTTTTTCTTAATCACTCAGTAGCAGCACTGTTAACCTCAGATCTCTTTGGGCATGTGTGTCTAAGGGGCTACAGGAGGTCTGTGGAGCTGATTTTGTAATTGTGGGTAAAGAGCAGGTAAAAGAGGATGAGGTAGTTGAGGGGAAAAAATAAGAATACAAAAGTAGTCATAAAAGAATGGATAAATCTGTGAGCCAATTGATTTTATACATAGTTAAACCATTATGACATATCACTGGATTTGAAGACTCTGTTGGATTTTCTCGATATAGGTTAGGCAATTTGGAACTGATAGCGTTATATTGGTGGAAAAGAGTTCTTGGAAATATGCCAGTTCAATTCCTGGTAAATGCCATTTCTGTTACTTTAATATCTTATACTTGAGTTTCACATTAGTCTGCAAGTGATTGTAACGATTGGAAATATAGTGAGTTTGGTTTAGATCCTATCTTAGTCATCACTTGGTAATTCTCAGCACTGAGGGCCATGCCAAGCACACAGTGCTTTAAGCATATTTTCCCCTTTCCCTGTAATAAGTGAAAAGGGAGAAATTAATAACTGTTGTAGTGATCCCAAAGGCTTAGGGAAAAGGTCTATCATCATTAGCGCATATTAACAAAATAGTAATACCTTAAATGATAATTTTGCTCTGTGATAGTTTGTTTTTGAAAGTTTTCTGAAAGAATGTGTTTATTTAGTAGTTTAAAAGTACACACATACACTTTGGTTCTAAAAGGAGTGAGAGAGGGAGATGGGGATGGACCCAACAGGGCAGATGTTGTTCACAATTGCATACACCCTTCGTCTCATTCAGGGAGCTCCTGCCTATGGTCTCTTGGCTGCTCCCACTTTGAGATCACTTCTCCATGTAGCCACTGCTCCTGATGATAAATTTCAGGACTAGAAGTAAGAATAATGGCTTTGATCTCTACCTTTGGGACTTGACTTGGACACGCCCTCTTTCGTAGCTACACCATGGCTGTGATTCAGTTTCTTGGGCTGGGGCCCTGGTTTTATTGGCCGTGGCATTGCCGACGTTCTTGCACTCGCAGATGCTTGTAAATGGGAGTCACCTTGAAAATTTGTTTCTTGTAGTTTTTGTATCATTTAAAATTAATATGTTTATTTTGGAGGCCCTAAAGTTATTAAGGTGAGGGGCTAGGCTTTTTGAAAAAGGTGAAATGGGTAATCACATTCTGAATTAAGCTGTTTGAGATTCCTTAAATCATGATTTAGTGTGGTGATTCTCAACTTGATAAAATTTATGAGACTTTTAACAAGAATAGTTAACTCCCAGAATATGTCAGAAACTCCAGTTTGAAAAACACAAGTTAAACAAGGTTTCACTAGTGTTAAGCCTTTATTCAGTTATCATGACAAGATGCCTTTTGATCTTTCTTTGCTATTAAATTAATCTTTAATACCGATAAAAGGAGGATAGAGAAATTGCTTGGCATAAGTTTCATTATAAACCTATCATCCAGATGATACAGTATATACTTTTACATAGTTTTTTTATACATTACACTGAAATGAGAAGATAAAGGTTTATGTGCTTGGAACCCTTAGAATGCATCTTTATACCCTTGTCTGTGAGAGTCACTTGTTTATTGGAAATATGCTTGGTAGCTATTTGAAGTCATAATGTAAAGAGGGCATATGACGTAGGGAAGTGATAAGGGCTGGACATGTAGTGGGACTTCAGTTGGTTTTGGAAAAAGTGGTAATTACTGTGTCTTTTCTCCTTCAGTGCCCTTGTGAAAGATGCGTCTCCTGTTCCTCTGATTGATGTCACAAACCTGCCCACTCCCCGGAAATTCCTTGATACCTCTCAATATTCTCTTGCTGGAAGCTCAAGTAGTAAGTATTTAATTTTCCAGCCACTAAACTTTTTAGTATGCTGCTGTTCCTACGCAAAGACCTGGGGAAGCCTCTGGGGGCTGGGTTTAGAGGGCCTGACGTATGTGCCTTGGAGGCTGTGATGAGCCCTTCTCAGCCTTCAGAGCAAATACCATATACGAGGATTGATTGGGCCTGTGCATTATCAGGGTTGAAAACTGGCAGCTGAACCTGACCTGCCTGCTTGTTCCAGCTGTAGGTGTGTTTTATTTGACCAATACTGTTTTTCTAAAGTTGAGTTTGAATGTTTTTCGGTAAGAGTGTGCTTTCCTTTTTACAGTAATCTCTATTGCTCCTATTAGCTCTTACCCAGCTGTTCCATGGGTTACCAGACCATGTCTGGTCCTAGAGAGCTTTTGAATGTGTGACCTCTGTCCTGTGTCCCAATTCTTTTTGCATCTTCCAGTGGCTGCTCTTTTCCCAAACAGACCTACATCTACACGTGCTTACACACTCCTACATGTATGGCACTTTGAGGATAGATCCACAGACTCATCTTTTCTTCTTTAGGGTAATACCCTATTGGGTTATCTTTACGCGTTGGGGGTGTGAGGTTATATTTTGAGTCTGGATTTAGGAGAATATTGTATGGTGCCTCAGGTGTACTTCCCCTTCAGGGAATTCAGCTCATGGCCCTCTTCCTCCATCTCAAAACCAGCAAGGGCGGGTCATGTCCTTCTCATCTTGCGTCTCGCTGACTCACTCTTCTGTCTCCTTCTTTGAAGGGTTAATGTGATTGGATTAATTCCTTCTGGGTAACTCAAGCTATTGGTTTCTCTTTCCATCTCAAGGTTCTTGACCTTAATCACATCTGGGCTCTCTTTTGCCATGTAAATGGACACAGGTTTTGGGATCAGGACACGGCTGTTTTTGGGGAACCATTATTCTGCTTACCACAGTAGGCACTGTCTATTTTCTGATTTAAGTTATCTTTGGAAGCCAAGTATAACAATTTGACTTTCTTCAAATTATGTAGTGTGGTCTTTTTAAGTTATTGCAATTCCAGTCTTTAGGACTGTATTAATCTGGATTATGTTGTTAAAGGGAATTGTGTAAATGAGGAAGATGTAAATTATTCTGTGAGCTGCACAAAACGTTACTAAGTATATATAAAAGTATGGGCTGATGAAATATAATAAAGGACAGTTCTTAATAATGAACTGTAAGTTCTAAGAGTCTCCTTGTGAACTGCTCTGTAAGCCAGCCTGGAAAGTAATAGCCATTTTCAGTGAGGAATTTACATAGGCTTATAAAGCTGTCATCTTGTGAAATGGTAAGATTGAAGGTGTAATCAGTTAGAACTGACGCTTTTATGGAGGAAGTTCCAATGTGGAATCTTTGTGTACAATGGGTCTCCCATTGGGTGTCATCAATTAAGATGGGCGGTAATTCCTGAGAACTTTCATGTTATTATTAATTAAATGAGAATTTTGATTGTGAATAAGTTTTTCATATGTCCTATTTAGAAGTGGAGTTGTGGGTGACTTCTATGAGGGATTTTCTATCGTAGTATGTAAGTTATACCTTGCAAAATAGATTATATCACTTAACTGATACAATATTCCTATGAGGTAGTTATGGCAGATACTATTGTGATTGCCATTATAATTGTTGATATTATGTCCACTATATGTAAATTTATGATCAGATATTTAAGGTATCGTGAAAGTTGTACAGAATTCTGTACATGTATGTATCATCTACTTTAAATATAAAACACATACTTAAAAAATGCAAAGTCAAGGCACAGATTGGCAAAAGCAAGTAACCCATCAACAGAACAATGATTGGCATCCCTTAGCTTTTCTACATATTATTGAAGAAGAGAAATGGGATAGTAAAGAACTGAGAAAATAATGGGCAATTCACAGAAGAGTCCGTGTACATGGACAGATTGTCATTTATCTGATGGAGGTTAAGTATCCAGAATACATAAAGAACTGCTATAGATCAATAAAACAAGCTAGCAGAATAATAGGCTAAATATGAACAGGCAATTTGTATAAGGGGAAACCCATGCTAATAAATTTATTAAAAACGAATTACACTCTGGTTACTCAGGTATTATTATAAAAATCATTCAGATATGGAAACTGGACCAAGGAAGGTTGAGTGAGTGGTCCAGGTTCAACCACCATCGCACTTGGTGGAGCCTGGCCTCATGGTGTTCCTACTCTAAATATGTAGGAAATCTGTTTTGTAAGCCTTCCTCTTATTATTCTCATCAGTCATGTAGTGTTTTGTGATGTACAGAGGAACTAATGTCTAATTTAGATGTAGTAATTCAACTATAACTTAGGTAGAAGGATGGGAGAAATGTGGAAAAAAGCCAAGCAGTATAGAAAAATGTTGGTTTAAGCTTTTGGATTCCTAGTATGTCTTTTTATTTGGCAAACCGCCCTTGGAACATTTAGACTGAACAATTACTCCCAGGCTGCACAGGCACTTCATTTGTGGCTTCTTTATTCATTTTATTCATGCTCCTGCTGGGATTGCTGTGAATATGACTATAATGAAACTAGACTTCTTACTTCTTTTCTTTTTGATACAAGCATAAGTTAAGCAGTAAAACTTAAAGAGAACACAAATTAATTGATTTTTCTTTTTGTTGCTGTTTTTTGACATGCATTTTATTTTGTGAAGTCTTGTTCTGAGACTTAATATGTATCTTAAGACTCTGGAGTCTGATATTTAAAGAATTCTCTGTACACGGGTTGGGAGCTGTTTCCTACTACAAGAGCGGATGAAGTTTCCTCCTGTAGAACTGCCATACCTAGAGTGGTGAAGATCTAATTCTCCATAATAATGACTCTTTTGGAGTTACCTCTGCCCTTAGGTCAGGACCACCTTTGGCATTTTATTGCTTTTTGTTGTTGTTGTTGCTCTAAAGGTAATGTGCTAACTTTGTGCACCTTTGGCATTTTAAGAAACCTATTTCCTAAGTATCCTTGGATTTGCTCTTATTTATTTATTGTCTTTGTTGATTTTTATTATGATTGTAAGTACAGTTGAAGAATGTACACAAAGGAGACAGAATAGTAGAATTAATAGTTCAAGTATTTCTAAATGTAAAAATAAAGCAAGGCCAAGTTTATTGTTTGTTTAAAATAAACTTATAAATACAATATCATAAATGAATATTACATTTATATTTCAGAAATCAATGTATCTATTACCTCATGTACTTCCCAATAGATTAATAAATCTTAATATTCTTTTATTTTGTTTAAGATTCTCTTTTATAAAAAAAATAAAACATTACAAGTCAATTGTAGCCCATTTTGGGTGCATGAATTCCTTTTTTTTTTTGAGATAGTCTCACTTTGTTACCCCTGGTAAAGTGCTATGGCATCATAGCTCACAGCAACCTCAAACTCTTGGGCTTGAGTGATCCTCTTGCCTCAGCCTCCATAGTAGTTGGGACTATATGCATGTCTCACCATGTGTGCCTGGCTAGTTTTTTCTATTTTTAGTAGAGATGGGGGTGGCGTGTGCCTTGCTCTTGCTCAGGCTGTTCTCTAGCTCCTGAGCTCAAGCAATCCACTGCCTTGGCCTCCCAGAGTAGTAGGATTACAGGTGGAAGCCACCCCCACCCTGGGGCCCTTGAGCATATGAATTTGTATTCAATTCCTTTCCTTTCTGTATTCCAGAGGTAATTATTACTTTGAGATTGCTCTGTGTCCTTTTCCTGCCTGTTTTCATACTTTTACTATCTCTATGTATGTATATATGGTAATTTTGTAACCATGGAAACAATATATGTAATTTATAGATTGATGTATATACACTAGAACCTCCAAGTTATCACCTCCCTACATGGACCACCTCCTTCACTTGACCTAATTTTCATAGACTGGACATGCACCATATGTATGTATGAGTACAGTAGGCCTAGTGCCTTATGTTGACCACCTCTGTATGTTACCTGTTTATTACAGTCCTTTGGATGGGTCATCTTACGGATGTCCTACTCTATATTTAAATAGTATATTTATTTGTTTAAAGCATATTATTATTTTGAATATTTTATGCTTAACTAAAGTGTGTAATACAATATTCATCATTATACTATTTGAATTTTAAGCTCAAAACATTTTAAAAATTTGCTCAAAGGAAAATATAGCTCTAGTTTATTAATGTTAACTAATATGTAATATTTCATTGTATAATACATCACAATTTATTCATTGGCCTCATATAAGGCATAGATTGTTTCCAGTTTTTCATTATTATGAAACTTACAGCAATGAATATTCTTGTACATATCCTTATAGGACAATTTCTTATGCACTGATTTTTGGAAATGAGTTATTGATACCTGAGATTCCAAACTCTTTAGGCTTTGGGGTAGTCAGTTGGGGATTTACCCAGTTATGTCATATAAGTACTGTTATTTTCCAAGGTGGCAAAGCCTGACTTTTAGGATGCACATGTGCATATGTATAGGATTTTAGATTTTAGATTTGCTTTGTCAAATTTAGATTTTACTTTGTCAATTTGCTTTGATTTGTCAATTTTAGATTTTACTTTGTCAAATTGCTTTCTAAGATAATTATACCAACAGAGATTCCTCCAAGCAGTGCACAAGCTATTATTTCTTTACTTCTGTGCCCTTTCTATTGTTTTTGTTAGACTTCAAATTTTTGTAAATTGACTTTAATTTGTTTAATTTTTTATAGTATTTTAAAGTTTAGATTGCATTTCTCTGGTTTTTACTGGTTCTGATCATCTTTCTATGTGGACTTGTTAGTTCTCTTTAGTAAGTTGTTTTTTTTTTTTTTTTACTATGATGTTTCTTTTCCCTGTTAATATGTAAAGAAATTAAGTGGATGGTGATTATTTTTCTGTAAATGGATTGTGTGCAGATATCTTCCAGTTATAGCTTATCTTTATTTTTTTATTGTTATATAAATGTTTTGGATTTTATTTTAATATAGTTAGATTAAACAACAGTTTCCTAT